ATATAATATAATATAATATAATATATACATATATATATATATATATATATATATATACATAAGTGTTCTGTATTGTAAAAATCGACTGTGGTATTCGCTACACAGCGTGTAATGCAAAACAGCCTAAATATCCAGCAACAGTTAGTCGAATACTCATCCACACAGCCCTCTTGTTACGGAATTTCAGACCGAATGCAGACAGGCCCTTTCTGAATACAAAATCGGTCCTACAACCCTAAAACCAAGTCATTCCCTTCGAGTTGTATGATTGGTCTACACTGTTTGATCAAACAAAAGATCCAACCAGTGGTGTACCCGAGAAACCCCATGTACTTGAAGCACCAGACCTAACTAGATACTATATATATACAACTTCGGCCTGGAGAGACAAATAAGGAATGCACTGCGTTCATTGGCCCACTCCGTCTGCGCCGTATGGGTATCCATTGGGTCCTCTAGTCTCATTCACGCCTACACTTCCGGTTAACAATAGACTATATCCCTAGACCAACTGCCCGAGGTCCTAGGCTCTGCATATACTCTCGAGACTTCTCGTCCAAGTAGACGCCATAGGGCGGTATCATCGGCGCAGGCACAAACGTGGGCCTGTACGAGGAGATGCGCTCCGCAGGCACAAACCCGGTTGTGGTATGCGACGGTGTGCAGCCCGAGTCGGGTGGGTGTGTAGCCAACGGGACCCACAAAGAAGGGATCTGAGTGTGACTCGTTGGAGTGTACATGTCCCCGTATCCCGGGGTACGTACCGGGTGGTAGAAGGGGGCTACTCTACCACCCGTCTGACTGCACCCAGAGCCCTGGGTCATACGGGCCAGGGCCGGTCCTGTATCTGTCTGGCTGGGCACAGAATCTGGACGTCTGTTGAGGCAATCCGACGGCTGGGGATACCCCCCACTCTCATAGTCACAGGCGCTCGTAAATGGCGCCGTGGTAGCTTCCATCCCTCCCACACACGCACCCTGACCCGTACCGTTTGCGACGGGAGTATTCACGCTCAGCCCGGTCTCTGCATCTCCTGCACCCAACCCACCCCATTCTGAGAACAGGCGCAACGAGGGTTCTGTGGGCCGGGGCGTGCTACTCTTACCACGGTGCATCGCGTAATCTCTAACCTCCGCCACTGCCCCTCCTAGACATCGGCCAGGGCCTTGCCTGTCTCTCTTCCGTTCCAAAGTATCGTCGTAGAGCGAACCTGGAGGTTTGCAACGCCCAGACTTACGCATGGACGCGTCGGAGACGTACGCTGCAGGCTTCGTCTGCTCATATCCCATCTCCCCACCCACCGGCTTCTCTTGGCTCCAGCGCTTGCGCATGACACTTTCTGGCTCATGACGGCGCATGACACTTTCTGGCTCATGACGGCGCACGCCACAGCCCTGGCAGTCGCAGCTCCGATCGCCCGCCAGCATAGCGCCATCGTCGGCAAGGGCCAGCTGACCCCTCAGATCACCCCACGTCACATGTCCATCTTTAATGCGAGATATGGGAGTTTCCGAATAGCTGTGCTTCGTACTACGCGCTCCTACGCCGTTGCGGTTCTGGTCACCGGGTGCAGGCAACCCGGCATAATAAGCCGGCTCGTGCGCCTGGTGTGGGTACCCACTGCCGGCATAGTTAACTGCATTCATAGGCGTGCGAGCACTGTCCCGCCATTCCACCTCCTGTGGTCCCTTGAGGCTGCTCAGAGACTCGCAGTCACTGGCACACCGCACAGACATGGAGTCCACACTCCGGTTCAGATCGGTGACCGAACTCGGGCCAGAAAGGTTTAACCCAGAACTCATAGTCAACCCCCAGCCCAACGCCGATTCGGATGTACAGTCTCCTCGGAGACCGATACTTCTCAGTCGCCTTTGCACCTGTCCTGTGCACCCAGGACCGGCACTTTGGAAACTGTCCTGGTTGGTTTTCACTCTGTACTGCTCTGGACTGGCCCGAGCCGGTTCGCTCTCCACCCGGCCACACCTTTCATCGAATGAATACTGGAACAAGCTGAAATTGACATCGCTGTTTCCAGCGCTGCCACTCACTCCTTCGGACAGAGTGCGCTGCACATGGGCGTGGTGAGAGGCCCAGGGGTAATAGCCAGCCTATAACACAATAGAAGAATGAAGATATGAGATTAGCAACTTAGATACCGTTGTGGGAAGGTATTATTGGACAACGTTATGGTAAGGTAGTGCAGCACTAACTTGGATAACGTTATAGTAAGGTAGTACAGCACTTCTTAAGGTGCCCAGATCGAATACGCGCAACAAGCGCTTCAATGAGTGCTATATACGACACAGCTATACACAATACGGGCATACAATGTATTGTGTTGTAGAGCGACAGGGTTGGCTTGTCACTTATGCGCTGATAAGTTCTATAGCAGAACACGCTTCACAGATTGCTGCTTACTTAATTGCCACAAAACTCGATGACAACGTCGCTATTGATAAAATTGAATACTTCACAACCCATACCATTCGAATAGATGCTAGCTCTATCGACTAGGCGCATCACACACATATATATATATATATGTGTGTGTGTGTGTGCGTGTGTGTGTGTGTGTGTGTGTGTTTGTGTTTTGTGTGTGTATACACGTATATACACACGTATGAATATAT